AAGGAGATAATCATGAACATATCTGCAGAGTCTCATGTGGAAACACAGCGCACGGCTTTTAGACCACGCTGATGGCTATCCCAGATAGAGAAAAACTCAGGCATGGAGGAAATCGGAAGTTCATTCATGTTGCAGTGCAGGGAGCACTTTGATTCCAGACGAATGAATGGTTCGAACACTGTCGATTCATCTTGGACGAAAACGCTTATAGTTTTGGAAGGGTATTTTCTAGAATTCATGGTGGTTAAGATCATACAGCGGTGACGACACCGATGAAGTAACAAATATCGAATTTGCTCAAGAAACAAAAAATACGGGCGTGGTTTCTCGTTGTAGCGTCGTAGTGTAAGGTTTCTCGTTGTAGAGTGTAAGGTTTCTCGTTGTAGCATCGATATCACCATTACAAAGACAAAAGAAACGAGCGGGATATTCACCGTCTTTCTAAAACTGCTAAATGGTCATGTACAACGACGGTGTTAAGCAATGGATAATGGGATTATGATATCGTTGACTTGAGGGACTCGCAATCGTAAGCGCGCTTTTGGATGGTCACGTTGTTATATATATATATATATATATATTCACTTTATTTGTGGGTAATGTTATTCCTCTGGTTATGTGTTCCATTCCTACGACCGAGCATTATCGCATTTTCGGATGTTACTATATACATTTATGTTCGAATCCTGAAGTCAATTTTTCTATTGTTTTGCATGCTGCTGAGGAAAGTGTCTGCGAGAATGAAGACTGTATGGAAATATGCTGCATTTTTTAAATTGGGGCTGCGGTTTCGTCAGAGAGAAATCATTGTTTTGCCAAATTTTCCTCCGCCAAAAAGGGACTCTCCTCTAGAAGCAGTGCCATTCTTTGATGAAGCAAAAGAAACCGAGGATTCTCTACCCATGTCACTCCCGAGCACATTGTTGAACGAAACCACAATTCGAAAAAGCAGTCCAGGGAACAGGAAGAGTTATCGTCCCTGATTGCACAAATCCAACTAATCCAAAAAAAATAGTTTGCAGGAAACTCTGAGCTTGCGAAATTTGTCCTATCCAGCGAAACATGACCGTTTTCCAAGGAAGAGGTCCAACAGGACAGCACAAAAATAGTTCTCAAGTTTGCAGCGTAATTCGAGCCTGCTTCCATAGGAGTCTTCCGGGAAATTCGACTATTTTTGAAAGTGGAAAATTTCGGATGAAACCTCTAAGAACTCAGGAGGATTTCGATACAATCTCACTTCCGGAATGACATTGTGAAATGCGTGCTGAATCATGTAGTCTTTAATTTGCGAGCATACACCGGTGAAAGTTTTTGAGCAGTTCTTTCATTTCATTCTTTCTGGAATATGCCAGACGAGGAATCCCCAAGGATATATGGGGCCGGGAGCTAATCGGTTCCATTTTTTAAATAAAGGATACCCACATTGGAGGATATACGGAAGCTATGATCGTTTGATTTTGATGCATACATACTCTTAGAGGGAGTCTCTTCTCCTTAGAGGGAGATTTAACTGGAAAAAATGGCACAAGGAGAATGGGTGAAGGTATAGATCCTTCTCTCTTAGGTAGCAAAATCGGTGAAGCGGCTCTTCAATGCAGAAATAGAGCCCAGGCTGACGCAATGGGGGCCAAATGCATTCCTATCAAGGTAAGGTAAAGTGTTATTGAGAAATTTAAAACCAAAATTGATATTGATTTCAATTTATGAGACCAGTCCAGGAAAGTGGGAACTCGTAGTGAATCCCCTGAATATTGACTTTGTGTATCTTCTTCGAGGACGACGAAAGTTCGATGCATTCCATTGTCTCAACGATGAATTGACACACTGTCAGATTACGATAGACGAACAACTCAAATAATGGGCAACAGCATGGAATGAGCAGCCCATTCGCTGAATAATATCTCATCCAATAACATTCTTCCACATGCCTCCGGAATGAAAGTAAATGTAGTGCTTCCGGAAGTGAAGACAAGCAGGATACTAACTTGTAAAGTTCATCCAACTGGCCTCGTCCTTAGAGAATCCTTTCGCATTCCCAATGTTCTGAAACCTTCCAGTCGCGCTTGACACATGCTCAAATCCGAATGAATGAAATACATATCAACTCATATAAATACATATAGAACAAAACTTTTCGATGGATGATACCATTCAACTTGGACCCCATGAACATTCATCCAAGTTTGAGGGTCGTTCCAGATAGTCAAGGAAATTGTATTAAAAGAGTCAGCTCTTGCCATCACCCATTCCTGCGTTCGGAAAGGAATAGTTTCGTTGGCGTGTCATAACATACTATCTTGCTTATTTTGGCTCCGTTCTTTCCAGTAAGCCCACTTCCTTTTCTAGCGTAACTTGCATTTTTATTGTGTAATGCATGCGGTTAAGCGATGTGTGCATCCCTTTCATTTTGTGTAAGCGAATGTTATTATATGAAGGTTGGATTCCTGCTTTGTCCCTCCTAGTAACGCAAGTAATCGATCGAAAACTCTGGTAAAGGGCAAAGAAAAGGCGCCGAAACCAGGGGATTTATCAGAAGCAATGGGCTTTTAGGAAAGATCGTCCATGAGCGAATGGCATCATTCTTTCAGCAAGTGCATTGGCAGTCAAATGGAGGGGCCTGCAAAGAAAAATGCGATGATAATGATTATGAATTTTTCATTACATGGCCAGCGTCCCAGGCCTTTTTGTCGACCTGTATGCTCAGGAAATTCGATGAGGCGCAAAGCACACACATCGTCTCCGTCCGAAGTGAGAAGTTGAATGGAGGCCCATCCCCTTCATCTGGTGATGTTTGCTCACTGTCCATCAATACAGGCAGACGATATATGCGAAAAGCAACAGCACATCGTATCAATAATTATTTCCTCTATGCGAAGTCCCTTGTCATGTCTGTCTTTGGATATTTAATGGGGCAGGAAGCTCATCCACACGAGTTTTATGCGAGATCATGTACGATATTGCTGTGATTAAGAAACGATTTGATTTTGATTATGTTCTTTTTCATTCTTAGAAAGAAACTAGGTAATTATGGTGGCTTTCCGAATGGGCCAACAGGAGCTAGTGTTTTCTCTTGTCCATCAAACGACCAGGAAAATTTGATTCGACATTATGCGATGTCGTTTGAGGATCCTCGCCTCGGGTGAGACAGAATGTGCAAATATCTGGAGATTTGGACATAAAGGCCAGGTCGACCGGACACAATCCGAGCGTGTTTCTTGCTTTTTGCTGTAAATTAATTATCAAGTAGAGGTTTTCTCATGGTGGGGTATTTGTATCTCTAGTACTAGCACTCCAGTACTTGTACTCCAGTATTTGCATCTCCAGTACTAGTACTGGAGAAGTGGGTGACCCCTCTCGTCCTGAGTCCAGAGGTGAGAGATCATTAATAGACAAGTAAAAAAGAACGTATACAACCGGGGTGTATCGATAGGGGACCATCGAATATGATTGCCGAGTGGCAATTACTAAAGAAAATGTATTTCTCAAATAATAAGTAATCGTTGATCTCACTTTGGAACTGCCTCCAAGGTACTGGCGGTACTCAAAGTACTAAGAGAATCAACGGTGATGATGATGAGGAAGACTTCTAAGTACTGCTAAGAAGAAATGCAGGCTTCGATGCGATGCCAAGTATTGAAAACCTGTGCTCCATAACATTTCCAAAGCAATAATCTCCACTGCACGGAGATGGCGCCAGCATATTCTCAACTCAGAATGACCAAGGCAGGGTCAAATTCCACGATTTATCGAAGCAAAAACAAAATGTAACAGAGGCAATTAAGGGCTTTCGAATGTGCACGAAATGAATTTGGGCTAAGAATTAGTATGAAAGGTCATCTGGGCCTCAGACAAAAGGCAAATCCTAAAAAAAAATTGAAGTTGAAGTTGAAAAAGTTGAAGCTGATCTGTTGAACAGGTCCTCAGCAGGTCGAAAACTCCCAGAGAAACCTGAAGCGGAATCAAAAGGAATCCAAAATAAAATGCCCAATCGATGCTTCTTTCAGGTCTAACGATCTGAATCGATGCCCAAAGATATAAGATAATTGCACATACATGACATAGGGTAAAAGACCCAGCGATGGGCCACTTCGCAGGAAAATTTCAAAAACTAGGCATTTGTTCCATGAACACCTCTTAAGTGTCTATGTGCTTGAATGCTGCTAGGATATGTCATAACAATGGTAGGCTTGTTATGGAAGCTTAGCTATTGCAATTTTTATGTGCTGTGGCCCATCATTGGGGACCGGTCCATCACTGTGTCTTATACAGTACCCTACCTGATACTTCGCCGTGCACGGTGAGTGACTTCATTGGAGAGGGGGCCGCTAGGATCGTCGATGCTGTTCCACTGAAGAAATCATCATCCCCACAGCAATTCCTTATTGCACAAGTAAACCTGAGAGACACTCTGATAAATGTGAGCCACAACTTGAACAGGATCATCATTCGCTGAACGAACTTACCAGGCTACCAAAAGGGTGTTGAAGAAATACTGTCTGCAGGCATGACATAAACGGATTCATCGAAGAAAACACTAATCTAATTTTAAAACCATGGAATGGCATAGCATGAGTTGAAAATTGCAATCGCCTCCTAACATTTTGGCAGACGCTGGGAAATGCTGATCAGCTTTCAAGCACCGGAACTCATGCATGAGTTCTGGTGCTTTCTCGTGCACGGCTTTCGACAGCTGCATGTTGCATTCGTTGTTTCAAGTTGCTCAGCAGGCTTCACAGCTAGTTCAGCTTTCGCTGCCTCTTGCTGAACAGCTGTCTGAGCGGCCCTAAGCTCCCTACGATCATCACTCATTCTTGCCATTATGGCTAGCACTTCATAAAGCACCGATTTAGGCACTTCGCGCTGTAACTGCAGTGGCAAACGTTGTTTCCGCGCCAGCACCAATCGTTTTTTATCTGCAGCGACTGCCTCATCGCCGTCCTGTGGGACCTCCTTCAACATATTTTCTCCGAGTTCAACCTCACCTAGCAAAAATCGCCACCATGTTGGTATGAGCGGCCCGTTTGCACGACATATGAAACAAAGAACGTACGTGATTAGTTTTACTTCATCAATCGTGAGAACTTAAATTAATCGGTCATTACATAAAACGCAAACAGAAAAGTATTGCACGGAACGTGACACGCATTCAGTTAGTAGCACCCAATGATTGAGACAGCTTAGCATGCAGCCTATGGAAATAAGGTGAGTCACAGCCTATGGCTCCATATGACATATGACATATGGCTCCATATGACATATGGCTCAATATGACATATGACATATGGCTCAATATGACATATGACATATGGCTCCATATGACATGACATATGGCTCTAGGCCATATGGCATATGAGCCAAGAGCGTTGGATAGCCAAGCCTAAGGCCTAAAATAGCATAGCCTCATGGACCAGGCACGTTGAACAGTGGATGGCCCAGTCCATGGCCCAAAATGATATAGATTCGCAGGCCTCGCGCATTAGGGTGACAGCCGGAACCACAACCACAAATTTCAGGCTCATCGAATTAAAGTATTCGATTTTCCTGGCAACGTGATTTTCTCGCAAGAAGGCATCACTCTTGCAATATTTTACAGACAATTTATTTCAATAGTAATCCAGCATTACATGAAATTTTTTACTTTCATCTGAACGAGGTGAAAGGCGGGAAAAATCTCATCCGTCGTCAAACTGTCAAACACTGGACCCACGAGCTTTTAAAGTGCGGAACTTATCAGGGCAGACGAGTGGGAGATAAGGATATGCATGAGAGGTCTATGGAAACGCAGAAGGCCCATGCCATGGCTCGGAAAGAGGCCCTCGCCGCAGTGGTCTTCTCCTGCTTCTGTGTGGCCACCGTCATCCTCGGGGGCGTGGTGAATTCGGGGAGGCTCGGGGACGCCGGCCATCTCGGCCTCGCCATGATCGTCGGCGGAATCCTCTCGCTCGCATGCGTCTGCATGCGACTCGTCTGGATCAGCTGGAAGGGGGAAGAAACGGTGCGGAAATTTTCCTTGCTCGTTTTCGAAGTCGCAGGCGCGGTTAGGAAAGGTGTGGTTGAGGAGGGAGAAAAGCGTTGCTTCACCTTCAGAAGCGCAGTGAATCGTCGTTTTAACCTCGTGATCGCATGATGACCACTGTTACGTTAATACCTAACCGCGTGATAATGAACATTGAGAGATTTTTCATATTTGAGGTTTCTATCATGTACCGGAAGGAAGGGAGACACTTCCTTCTGGTCATGTTAAGTTATTGGATATTGGTTATTTGGTTATGTTAAGTTCCAATGATTTCACCTACGTTAGAGAGGTAAACGTTAAATAATGTCATGCAATGTCGTAATTTCAGTTTTTCGTAGTTCCTTTTTAATCGTCAGGAGAATTCAGATAATCTTCCTGATTTTTAAACGATATTAAAATAATATATATTTTGCATTATTTCGTTATTGACAGGAAGGAAACACGACGACGACTTCAACCACCGCAGGCGGACTGACCATGTCCTCTCGACTTCCCGGACCCACGCGCGAAGCCCAACAGTCGCCCCCCCGCCCGTCCCAATCCCATCGCTCACCGCGGCCATCTGGACGGACTCGACTCGACGCTTCGCGCGAAGTCCTCATCTCTCCGTCGCTGCTGCCATCAGACATCCCACAGCGGCGAGCGGAGGTCCCTCCCAGTCGCCCAGCGGCATCGAGGCCGCGACTCGACCTCCCGCCGTCCTACGAAGAGGCCGTCCACGCCTCCACAAAAAGCGAGACTCAGCCGCGTTCTCCTCGCGGTGACGGAAAATCCCATTGCCCGTGCAGCTCCTCCCGTTCAAGTTCCGGCCTTCCATTGGAATCGGGGGAACCGAGAGCCACCCAATCGCACGAAAGTGCAATTGCAAGTTGAAGAAAAATATTAAAAAAATTCCGGGAAATTCATTCGGGCCAGGATTATCTCAATCCAGCAGCATCATCAATGTTCGTTCGTCTTGGACCCCACATCCGATGACGTAATCGAATCACTTTCAAAGGCCGAGATCCGTCGGTCACATGGGAAAGGTCGATGAAGGCGACATTACTATCGAACTCCATCCACGCACGAAACTCACGGGGGAAATCCCAGATAAAAAAAAGGCAAGACCCTCGACGGAAACGACCAAGCCTCCCTCGCGACATCCTCGAGGCGGTAGTGGATGCATCAGCAGTGAATGCATCATCGTCTTCCGGAGATTCTTCTGTCCTTTGTCCTTGTGGATGCGAACATACAGGATGAAAGTGAAGGCGCGCCAAAGGGTGCGGGCTGTCTCATTCGCGTGGTATCGTGAGTTATCAGTTAAAAAAAGAAACAGTTAAAGAAACAAATTAACTTTTTTTCCAACAGTGTACAATAATATATAATGCATCATATTATAATAATTGTTCCTCTGTCGGCGTCTTTGTGGCGAGATAATTTTTTCTCGCGTTCAGTCGACAAACGATCGTTTTTTCGCCGACGACGCGGTGATGATTAGATTGCTAACGCGACCGTAACGCTGACGAGACGGGAAGGAGCCTAATCGGAAAAACTGAAAGAGTAGTTTCGTATCGAGAGAGAATAATTTTAAAATCCAAAAACCGCATGCAACATATTTATTTTAAATTAATTAAGGTGTGGTTCCAGGTCAGGTTCTTTCGCAATTATTGTATGCATGGAAAATGAAACAGTAAAACACGTAATGGAATCACTGTAATGTGCAATCTTATATGTTATCAGCTTGGTAGGGATAGGCGGATCCCAACCTGATTTTTCTACAATATACTAGGTTGTGATGAAAGTTCTTGCGCATAAATACATTTGTGCATTTTGTATTTATGCACAAAAACTTTCGTTACAACTAAGTAATTATTAGAAGCATAATTCCTTCCTTTTTTTCGCAGGAACGCAACACGATGACCACGACCACCATCTCAGAATTGACCATGTATTCTTGGATTCCCGTCCCCGCCCCCTCACCCTCCCCTTCGCGACGGTCTCGCCATCTTTTTGGCAAATTCAATGAATTCCAGAATCCCCCTTTTCCACGTTATTCATCAAATTCCCCTCCAACAGGAGTGAGGCTTCTTTAGCGAACCGCCTGAATGATTGCCATCATCAGCCATCCCAGACCAGGAGGCAGTTCCTCCGAGTGGGCCAACAGTGCCCAGAACGTAGCTCGACCTCCCCCGTCCCACGAAGAGGCTGTTAACCTTAAACCTCTTTCCTTAGAAAAACTTTCCCTTACACGTGATACTATGCATATGGTCTTATTTTACATGCGAATGCAATATGAATAAACTTTTTGATAGAAGAAACGGGAAATTACGGAATTTCAAGAATTCCCTTTGCATAGTTCAAACAGCCATGCAGTCCAAGTTTAAAGGTATCTGAAATGTCTGATTTTTGGAGAGCTTAAGAAAACTTCAAGGGTTACCATGTCCTTCCCCGTTCCCAACTGAGTATATCCTTTGCTATGCATACTATGCTATGCATATTATGCAAATGCAATGTAAGCAACTATGCATGTAAGTGAAGTCTATTCGCACTGTCCTGCATGCTTCGACGACAAAGGCTTTTTTCCTCTTTGGGCATTTTCTAAAATCCAGATCTGAAATGTTATTCTTATTAATTTATTATTATTATTATTTTAAAGTTATTGGATTGTGAATTTTTTTTATGCCTAGCCATCTCGAATAGCATTCTGTTTGGGCTTCTTCTCTCACGTCAGACTTTGAAAAATCGCTTTCACGGCATTCCATGGAATGTCGTGAATTCCGTCGGTGCGAATTTCTCGAATCTCGAGGGAGCAGATGCGCGCGAAATGACGTTCGGGACTATCCGTTGGATGGTTTCATTTTCCACCGCGACTCCTGCGTTTCTCCTTGAAACCTCATCAAGGGAACGAGTAGCGTGAAAGCAATGCGAAAAAAAATGTTGAATTGAAATCTCCATTGCTTCATGTTCCCGATCTACATTTTTTTAAATAAAAAAAAATACATTCATACAATGGCATGTCAGTTTGTTTGCCTGTCAATCAACGGCTCCCGTCAATAATTGTGGGAATGATGTTAGTGCTCCAAACGTCATGAATTCTCTATTAGGCTCATTCTTCCACCAGTGGCAAGAAGCAATTCATCGAATCACCGACGGAACCTCAAATTCAAGATCGCTGAGAAAGGACCGCTGCAGAGTGAATAGGGACCCCACTGGCCAAGCAGCTACCAATCGCACCGAGAGGAGGTGAGCCAGAAGGAGGTGAGCCAGAAGGAGGTGAGCCAGAAGTAGATAGAGATGAAGGCCAACAGGTGGCGGGGGCGCTCTGATATGATATGCAATCGATTCCAATCTGCAAACGTTATCTGTTTTACCTACGCATTGGAAAATATGTGAGTCACGGGTAGAATATTCAGTGACGTTCGAGGCTATGGCTTTCCTTCGAGCGCTGGAAGAAGCTCATCATTCAGGCGGTTCGCTAAAGAAGCCTCACTCCTGTTGGAGGGGAATTTGATGAACAACGTGGAAAAGGGGAATTCTGGAATTCATTGAATTTGCCAAAAATATGGCGAGACCGTCGCGAAGGGGTTTCATTTGAGGTATTTCTTTGGAAGGCTACCCAGCCGGAGAATAAGGCACGGGCAGTCCTTGACCGGAAAAACGCTAATTAATAATTAACGATGAATTACTCTCTTAATGAGACCCTCGAATTCCACGACTCCTGTAGAAAATCGGAGGTAGTCATGACTCTGATTCCATTCCTCTTGGAAAGAAAGCCATGGATCATTTTGCACCAGATTTTCTTTGAAAGTTGGTTAGAGGATTTTCATTGTTTTCCAGATCTGCAAAAAATATGTTTACCACTTTCGATGGTTCCCTAGGAAGCCGTGTTTGCGATTAAAATATCGTAGCTAAATCATCTCTTTCGAAATGCATTTTCTTTGTCACGCCAGCATTGCCTCCGGACAAACCGTTACTTTTGCTTGCAATTTAATTTCAGCAGCAAATGAGAAACTTGGCAGGTTCGGAACGGTGTCACGTCAATTTTCTGGAAACCCATGTCATCGGCTCATGAGCGCTGAAAGGGAGCTAGAATATTAAATAGTCAAGTTATCGTGTTAAATATTTTAGAACAACGTAATTGCCATGCAAATATTTTCTTCAGCTGGCCCAAGGGCAATAATTTGCAATCATGTCTACATGGATTTTCCATGCCAACTGACAAGTCGGCAAGCAACAGTCCTACTGTCAGATTAGGAATTTGGATTAGGGGATTAGCAGGTTGGGAAACGGCCAAGCCTTTCACTTTCTGACGGATGGAATTTCTGTCGCGAATCTTCTCCAACTACTCCTCTCTTTTCTGCATAGCAGTCGCTAAACCGAATTGCAAAAGTCCGTTCCCCGATAGAACGTTCCTCGGGCTCGCAAAGTGACGGAAGTGAAGAGATGCAGGGCTCTGAGGCTTCTGGTATATACATGTCCTCACTGCCTTCAGAGGGCATCAGCCCTATTTTCAACCAGGTTGTTCGGGAATTCGGGGGTTGCCTAGGCTTGTTCCCTGGGATTTCCCTCGTCTCCATATACGAAACCGTTCACCAATACATCCTATCCAAATTCGATAGGGTTGTGGGCAATCGTGGCTAACAGATTGACTCATCGCCAAAGCATGACGACCGATAAGGAAATTAGAGATATTAACGAATATCGGTGATAAAACATTCAGGTTTTATGAAATTGATTTGATCTACAATGGCGTAATAACAATATTGATGGGAAAATATACAATTTTCGAGATGAGGTAGACATCTGAAAATCGGTACATATGTACATTTTGAAATGAAGAGTTCATTAAAAAAAATCCAACTTTGTAGGTACTTGAGGGCACCCATTTTGGGGGAAGATATTTTCAATGATACATATTTGATACATATGATACATATTTGCTTCAGTCAAATGGTTAGACATGGAAAGCTGAAACTTGGCAAGGTCGTGCCTACTGAGACACTGAGTTCAGGAAAAACGTCGAGTTTCAGGTTGATACCTTAAGGGGCATACTTCTGGGTATGACATTTTAAATATTTTTTTTTGTCCGAGGGCACGACCCGTATACATGTATATGCTGGTACATACAGTAAATATTACACTGGACAATTTCATCATTGAAAGCAAAGTATCACCGGAATGCACCGAGTAACAAATAATTTGTAATTTGCTATTTCAAAAATGATTAAATCGTAAACCAGACTATATCACAATTGTATTTGCAATTTAGGTCCTCACTTTGTCCTCACAACAAGCCATCATGCCATCATGCCATTGTCCACTGAGAGGACCAGTCGGAGGCGTGGGTGGCAATCACGAGATGAAACCATTAAGGAAATTAATATGATTGCATGAGTGATGACTTTTTAATCCGATGTGAAACCTTGCTCTCGAAATTCTATCCAGAATTTCGGTGGGAGCGGAAAATCCACTAGTCCGATTATGAAGATGACAGCCTGAAAGGCAGCCAAGCCCTTTCCAGATGGATGAATTAGCTCCTTGTGCACGGACGATCGATATGGAATACTGAAAATGCTCATTGCCTATGAAGAACTCACTCACTTGCATTTTCAACCGGCGAAATGATATTTCGGAAGTGAAGCGATGCAAGACTCTAACCGTTCCGGTACGCTTGGTTACCGCGCAGGCGCTGGGATACCTGCGGAGATACCAGAGGACGCCGACCATGACCACTTACCGGATTCAGGAGAGAATTAATTTCTCGGCGCCGAAAATCACTGTCTGTCGAACTCCATCGTTCGCCACGGGTCCAGAAGCGTCCAAGCCGATTCTCAAGGCGTTCAACCTGTCCTCGTTAGCGGAAGGTTTCGGATTCCTTCCGAATGATCTTTTCTTGGAATGCAAAATTCAGCATCACCCCGACATTTGCTTGCCGAAAGATGCCCTGGATGAAAGATGCCCTGGATGAAAGATGCCCTGGGAGACAACATCTTCTGCACCAAAGGCAAGTGACGAATCTAACGAGTGAAGAAACAGATCAAATATGAACATTGAGATGAGAGAGGTTCAGATGAATACAGGATTCTTGATTTCTGAGCAGTACAATCGACTGGACAAAAAAGTGCTGAAATTCGAAAAAGGAAATACCTCATCTCCCTTGAGTGCAAAATATGTATGAAACAGATACCACGAGAATTACCATTAACCTCTCAAAAGGGACTCTTGATCTCGGCGCAGGTGGGGATTGGCGTCACACGCTTTTCTACAACGAACACGAGGGATCCCAACATTTCCAGCTCAGTCGATGTTTCACATTCCATCCAAACGTCAGCCTGGGAGTGGGTGGAGAATTCTCAGGCTATTTCCTCCAATTTCGCGTTCTCCCGAGGGATGCAGAAAGTGCCGCGGTGTCCTGGGAGGTATACATCCGTAGTGATCTGGGATGGGCCTCCATCTACCTCAGATCCTCTTACGCGAAGGTGAAGGTGAAGCCGAGAAGAAGCAACCACGTGATTCTCTCGGCGAAAGAGGTCCATCAGATGAACACCGTGGCTCACTCCTGCGAGTCCAGAGAAGGATACAACTATATTGAGGTATTGCATCGATTGACTTCCGTATGTTCTTGTCCAGGCAAATCTTCGGGACCCGTTGCAATGTGTCTTCCCCGTCTCACAGTGCCTGGAGACATGCCTTTGGAAGAGGTCTTCAGCGAGAGTCAAATCTCATGCCGACTACCGGAATGGTAGTCCGTCGGATTTGCACATCCCTGCCGGAATGTGCAAATCCGACGGACATCATCCCCATGGCCATCTCGTGCTACGGCTACTTCATCAACGGGACACCTTCAGAACTGTCCCTGCCGACCTCCCTGCGATCTTCTACCGTACTCCGCCCACGTCCAGCCCGAGGAGGAAACCCATTCCGACTTCTCTCAGATCCGGATCTACTTCGTGGAGAACACCGCCGAGGTGTTGATCGACAGCGAGGCCTACGATTTCGTCTAAGTGGTCGGGGAATTCGGGGGTTGCCTCGGCATGTTCCTTGGCGTTTCCCTCGTCTCCCTTTATGAGTTTCTTGACCAGTTCCTCCGAGCCAAATTCGCCACGCTTCATTAAATTTGCGACCAGGAGGGACTGATTCACATCATCATCGGTAAAAACAATTTGGTGCAAGCCCAGTCCAGTAATGGGCTGTAAAGAAAACCCTCATTTGTAAATTTACCCTAATTAACCACAATTAAACAAAATTCCATCTCGTGCCGGTCTTCGACCAGCAAAAAAGAAGTGTAGGAATGGAATTTTCTGAATTTTCTCTCCCATGTTGCAATGCTTGCTTTCACCGAGAAAGTATCAGATTTAAATTCAAGAGGACTCTGCACCTAGTACAATAAAAAGGAAATGCATGTGAATTTGAGTGCATGACCTCGCCATTCGCATCTCGTTCACGTACGACTGCCTCGTTCCTTTTGCTCATTATACGAAGTGAAATATGAAAATGTATGAGAAATTGTGGTTTATGTTCGCATATATTGCCTGATTTTCATCGTGGACCTTAGTTGTGTATCATCAGAATGCACAATTTCACGCCGTATACGTAGATTCAATTCCTATATCAGGAAGTTTAAAAAAATACCGTAGACTGGGCAATCTCAAAATCGTATTCTTAATGCAGATCGTCGCGCTCTTTAGTTGTTGAGATAACGATTTCCGTAACGTAATATAGAAATTTGAATATTGCAAGATTTTTGCTTTGCTTTTCGCAGAATGTTTAAGTGCCTGTTTAAATGAGGACGAATTTCGTAGGTTTTTCTTCTCGTTGGATTCGCGAAATCATCAGAGACCACCTCTGATGAATTGTCTGATGAACTGTCGGTCAAACCAAGCCAAAAATTCCTCCTCGGATTAAGTTCCGCGTCTCTTCTATAATTCTTCGGTGGAATTGAAAGAAAGCGAACGAAAGAATAAGAAAAACCAAGTTCCATATTGAAAAAAAATTAATGTCGACAAGAAGCGGGAATAAGTTGGAGGAAAATTTTCTGAGTTTGGCTTCGCTCTCGGACAATTGTTGGGTGTCTTCGCTATCACACAGCCAATCAATTGGCAAATAAATTTGGCTCCATTGGCAAATAAAAAGGTAACAGACGCCATTAGCTGCGTTTTCCATCACATTTCTCTGTCATTCGGCATTATCAACGCGAATCGCCCTACGCTATGACCAATAGACGTGGCTCAATTATTCCCCACAGCATGAAGAGCCATTAATATAAATTTTAATTTAAAAATTAATTAACAAATAATTAACATTATTAACAATTCCATCCACCCATTCGGAACGGTCGACCGATCACCAAATAAGCCATTTCTGTTATAGGGTCGGGGGAAATTTCTCAGGGAATGCTTATCCTACCGCATATTGCCATGACCTCGTGCATCAAATATCAGCATTGTCGCGCAAACCCTGCTTGGTATTCCAAATTTCAGCTATGGATATAATGAATTCTAAAACAAACAAAAAAAATTTTAAAGGAAAAAACTGATATCCCTTGCAATTTTATTAATGGAACTTAGGAACAACGGGACCAAAATAAACAGCCAGGTCTCGACAATGCGAATGAGATTGCAGAGGATTGAGAATGGGAAAAAAATTCCATCTTGGGAATTGGGCACAGTGATGGAATAAAATCATGCATCGCCCTTCTATAACAATGAGGCAGTATCCCGCAGATATAACTTTTTATCTCTCTGGACAGTCACTCGATAGCGAAAAGCTAATAGCTTTGTCGCAGTGCAAATAAAAATTTCTCCTGATTTTATATATCGACGAGAAGTGCCATCTCTGACGTCAACCGGGCCAACGCAAAGGTCACGAGCCACCCGAGTGCGGCCGTGTGTGAGATAACGAAATGGAACGGTGTCTCGACGGATACGCAGAAGTCTCATGCCATGGCTCGGAATGCCATGGCTCGGAAGGGACTCTTCGTCAGAATTTCCGCTTGTGTTGGCGTGGTTCTCGTCGTCCTCGGAGCTGTGATGCATCGAGGCGCAATCGACGGTTTTGGGTCATACGGGCTGGCTTTCATGACTGTGGGAGGTTTCATTCTCTTGTGCGTCTGCCTTGTCTGGCTCAATAAGAGGAGAAATGACACGGTACGGAAATACCATTTGTCTTTTCGTGAAAAATATATATTGCTCTAGATGAAAAGGGAAATTGGTTGGAGCTCATAAAGCACTTCTCTTCAAAATTGTCGTCACTTGCCCTATTCGTTCAGTAAGAATAAGATTATTATAGTCTCGGCGATCACTACTCGCGTGGCATTACATGTCAAATGATTGAATTTCATCTTTGTAGTGGTTTTTCAGCTCATAGCGGGAAAAAACAGCGACGTCGTCAGTCTAGTTCATTACTGATTTTTGCATGCATTAAGAAGGGGAATGTGTCATGTAACAGCATTTGAATTTGTAATCCTGAAAACAGAAAATCTGTCGATTCTGCAGGGAGATAATATTCATATACAGTAAAACCTGCCTTAGCTTATATCCTTGGGGTCAATCCTTGATATAAGGTACTGGAGGTTATAAGCTATGGCAGTATAAGGAATCAGCGGTATTACTGTAAGTCATCAGTCAACGGTTTTTATTGGCAGGAACGTGACGGGACGGCCACAGAAACGACATCAAGTAAGTTTACCGACTCTCAACGTTTCCTGAACCTGTACGCAGACCTCAACTCTTTACAAGTCAACAGTCGCAACTCCACTCCCTCATATCTGAAATCACAAAACATCGCTGCATTTTTCAGCTTGCCCCCCAGCAACGAGTCCAGTTGACCTTCCGCCGTCGTACGTAGAGGCCCAGCTACCCGCGCATGGGCCACTCAACCCTCAAGCGCTGTCACCATCAGCGAGACAGGGAGCAGGGATTCCTTCAAGTGGACCGGCAGCGTCCTGGACGCAGTTCGACCTCCCTCCCTCTTACGAAGAGGCCGTTCGTGGGGCCAAGGACGACGAACCTCCGCTGTGCTCTCCTTGTTCGAAGGAGAGGTTCTAGAATGGTGATATTCTTTCCTTATGAAGAAATACGAATTTTGCCTTAGGGGAAATGACCCTGTTGAGGCGTTTCTACTAATATGTGATATTATTTATTGTTTCTTGTATTTTATGCCACACGATATGAATTTATTTTTGCATTAAAGACACGATATGGACCCTGGCTCCAACAATTATTGTAGCCGCCTTCATTCTTACTTTTTTCCAAATGCCGATAGCTTACCTGGAAATTGTGCTTCTGTGCAATGTTACTGACTAGCCATATTGTCCCCATCGCTACCCAGCTGTTTCATTTCGCCAAAAGATCTAATTGAAAATAAACTTCTGCAACTTTTCTAAATATTGCTACATCAACATTGTGTTCATTTTTTTTCTTTTAATGAGTATATTATAAGAACTTTTTCTTGATTGTAGTGTCCACACGCCACTATGGTGTGTTGCCGCATTTCTTTTTCCAAACGTCTTGAGCACACCCATGATTTGCCAACGTAGCGACATGCATGACGCAGGTACAGGTATGTAATATATCCTTCGGTTTGGTATTGGTTCAAGATCACCCCACATCGATCGAAAATTAAAAACTAACGTTCAGCTAAAGGTTTGGGAGGTCTGGAATATTTATATTATATATGTTTATCTCACTGTTATGATATCCTGTCGCAGATCTCGTCATTGTCCCATTCGCTTTTCATGCAAGGTTGTGTCCCATTTCAGACTTTTTCAATCGCTGATTGAATCGCTGAATGTATCACTTCGCCCATCGAAGTGATACATTCTGGTCTATCTCACCATATGGCTCGAGAGACAGCCTTCACACCTGAGAGATAAAGCTATACAGGGTGTTCTTAAATTATTTGAACTCTTTCGCGACTTCTCGATTTGGAAATTACGGATTTGAGAATATCCAACCATGGAAATATTATGAAAATTGAAGGTATTGGTTTACTTATCTTCCGCCAGTCACACGCGGCTAATCTCAAATCGGCACTCGCTCTCGCCCAAAACTCTGGAGAATTTGTGCGGTATGACCATTGCGATTGCTGCTTCTTATTTCGATTCCTCAGATCCTCAATAATTCTTGGAAGGGGCACACGCATCATTTCAAATAAAGTAGTGCGCTTCTCGTAAATGGAGGTCCTCGAGGGAGGATCCTCGGCAAACTTAGTTTTGAATTTGCTCTATGCTGCTGTGGCACTTTGTGTTTCACTAAGCCACAGAACTCAATTTGTTCAGCGAAAGCCGTTTCTTAAGAAACGCAACAGAACTGATTCATGCAATATACCAATATATCCCCATAGAAAGTGCATATTTTTTTTATCTTCCCCCTTTTGGCTTGGAAACGGTCACGTCGCAAAATTGTTCTGATAATTCATGGGCACCCTTTTCTCATCAGAGGAACTGAAGATTATCAGGTTCAACCATCCAACCAGGAATGTGAAGCGTATAGACAGAACTGGACCCATCCCTGGAACTCGTTAACCAACTTCCTCATCGTGCAACAGGCCCTAAAGTCAAGACTTGGACTTACTGCAATATGTACCCGTAGGAACAGGGCGGTGTACCCAGGACTCGATGCAGGATGCCAGGGGCCCCATGCTCATCAATTTAGAACCAGTTCCACACCAACCCACCCGTTTTCATTTAAAATTAATGCAATTGTATCTCATAATTTTATATAGCTATATCTTTTCTGAAGGTACTAAGGAAAGCTTCATCAAACCTGGAATTCATTCATCTGAAGAATCGTACAACCCATTTTCAGGATTAAGTGTCTGACAGGCACTCCCATATTTTCCAGTAGTTACGAGAGTGAATGCGCCAAAATAACTCAACCATACCATATACATCAAGTCAGTCAAGTACCCAAGTACCTTCAAGGTACTTCAAAGTACCCAAGTACCTTCAATCGCACCCCTCTCACACCGCAGAAAAACATGCCAATGAGGTATCCTGTTTCATTAGCAGGGGGAACTTCCGAACTTGGAGGTGATCGGGGATATAGGGAGAAGGGAGATCAAGAGAAGAAGATAGTCAGAAAGGCAAAGTGGAACGTGTTGGGTGTGCTGTGCTAAAGGGGGGGGGGAGTCTTAGGGATTTAGTTTATTGTCTCATCCCTAGTATTCATTTGCGTTGCCTTCTAGTTCCTTGAAGTGACTTTTCCCCGGCTCCATGTCATTACCATGTGTTCTTTGTTTTATGTCCGTTATTGTGTTTCTCGTCCTTACTTTATTCCTTGTGGGTTTTGTCTTTACGGCCTTGGTATCGGTAAACGGGGTTATAGACAAAAAACATAAATTCCGATTTGTTTCAAAATTGAAAAGTGGAGTTTGCTTTCCTGAAATTGTTGGCCCAAACCCGAGATCTAAAAATCCAGGTCAGGTGTCAATGATGGGAGTATTCCCACCTTGGTACGTGACAAATGCATCCAGGACTTTGTGTGCCCTCCCCCACATACTCTGAAGAAAAATATTAGATACCTCTTCAAAAGATTGTGGGATCGGCACGTCACTCCTGATACCATTGGAATGTCAGATACCTTGGGCGCCATCTCGCTTCAATTGTGGGAACCTTATTTGCGTAGATGAATGCAATAGATGACTTGCTCACAGAATGGAAAATGTTGGCTGCCGCATTAGTGCCAAAGCGGGACATTCATGGACAGCTCATTGCGATGTTGGCCCAAACTCTCAGCCAACCTTGCGCTTCACTCGCAGGTGATCGTATTGAAGGGTCTCGCGAAGATCACCTAAGCTTTCGCAATGGAGTTCGTACTTCAGTCCTTCATTTGCTTTGAAAAGTAACCGAGGCAATGATTCATTGCGTGCAACCGCACGGAAATCAACAAACCGCGCAGTGCGACCATGGCCTTGTCAAACGAGTCTGTAAACTTGATGAAATGCAACCGCACCCATGCTTCACCGACGAAACGACATCCATTGTGTGATTCCTCGTAGGCCTGCCCTCAAGCCCCATTTCGGTTCTCAATTACAAGCTCAGCTTACCAAGGTTTAGGAGACTCGGAGTAATGCATGACTGAATATTTTTTACGTCACTTCGCTATCTTATTGGGGAAGCTAGTGCCACGCTCTCTCTCGGTCGGCCGTGAGTACTCCAAGGGACTAATGTCTCCCTCTATAGTCTTCGCTTTTCATGCGAGATTGGAACTGTTCACAGACTTTTTCTATCCTCATTTGATTAATTTGCCCCTCCGAAGCGCTTATTGCACGAGATCGCATGTGTAATATGTTTCATCACACTCTGGTCTATATCACCACATGAATCAACAGGCAGCCTTCATACCCGGGAGATTGAGATACATCCTATCAGAATGTATCTCAAGTGGAATGTGAATGTATCCCTGAGAATGTATCCCTGAGAATGTATCCCTGAGAATGTATCCCTGAGAATGTATCCCTGAGAATGTATCCCTGAGAATGTATCCCTGAGAATGAATCCCCGAGAATGTATCTCAAGAAATACATGAGATACAGACACTTGAGGTACATTCTATTTCAGAGAATGAATAATCGAGATCCTTACGTTAACGCTTCTTTCGGTTTTTTTTCTCAAGTTCCACAATCCAATTTAGACGAATGCAAAAATGAAATTGTTTCTCCTCACTTTTTCAACGGAGAAGGATCAGGTACCTCTTGAAAGTAATGTGGCAAGTCACTCTCTGATACCGCTGAAATAACAGTTATGTAGGCCCCACCTCGCATCATTTGTAGGAACCATCTAGGTAAATGAGATAGATAGCCCACTCACAGAATGGGAAAATGTCGGCTCTGGCATTTGCGTCGAAGTATTAATACAAGTGCATGAACAGCTGTCTGCGATGTTGGCACTGGCTACCAAGCACTCAAGCAACCTAGCGTGCTGCCTGAGTATAATTCATTGCACATGCCAAATGATGTTCATGCAGTCCCTTACTGGATTGCATTTAAACATCATCCTCCAAGGGTCAATAAAGGCTCCCCTCTCTAGCCATCAAAAAAGAAACCTCGCTTCTTGTTCCCAGGAAAGCAACTGAAGAACGGGATTCTTGAAACTTTCATGAGATGCGACACTCTCATGACGGGTAATCAACTGATGCTTCCCTGCGTAGTTGAACCCCATTCACCCTGGGAAAGGAAATTTCTACGTGATATGCATGCCCCAACAGCAATCTATAGAATCTATAATCTATGATCTATAATCTATAGAATCTATAATCTATAATCTATAATCTATAATCTATAATCTATAATCTATAATCTATAATCTATAATCTATAATCTATAATCTATAATCTATAATCTATAATCTATAATCTATAATCTATAATCTATAATCTATGATCTATGATCTATGATCTATAATCTATAATCTATCATCTATCATCTATCATCTATCATCTATTTCTAAACTATGATATAACAATATAGTAGTAGAAAATCGTGCTGTGAACAGCAGGCTGCCCAACGCTATTTGACCATTCCCAAGATGCTTTTACTTGAATAGGGAAAGCTATGTAGCTCTTGAGTGACATAAGTCCATGTCCTCATCCCAAAACACAACCAGGGAGAGGAATACAAATACCTGAAAATTATGCATGCGTCACTTGACAAATGAAAGGTACAAGTATAATATGTGGAAATTTGTTAAATTTGAAATTTGGCGGTACCTTTCGGTTTGTGAGAAGAACCAGCTTATTTACAGTCAAAAACAGATTTTAATTATTAGAATAGGGGTTGCATTTCTATTGTTTGGGATTCCTGAAATGTGCTCTCCTCAATCAGCGTCGCGAAACGTTGGGGTTGACTTCGCAAGTTCATCAGTGAGGAATGGGAGCATTTGTGCACATCAGTGCTACGTGAAGCTCTGGTAGAGTAGACGTTAAGGGGCGGGGCTATTTTTCAGAATCAACGACACGTGATGGAGCAAGTTAATTTATGAGAGAAGAAGTGAAAATGTATAATATTCTAATCAAATATCGTCAAATAAAGCTGGGATAGTCCGTATATGTGTACCTTCAACTTGTCATCACTACACTGCATCATTATTATCCTCCAATTTAGGAATTCTCTGCTGCAAGTTTGCTAGTGGAAAGGTAACGGACACAGTCGGCATGGATGGTGCTTAACCCAACATTTCGTTCGTGGCATATTTCAGAGGTAAAGGAAAATTCATGTAACATACTTTTTTTAATTTAACAACGAGGTATTATCCTTCAGATATGTATTATTATCTACCGGGGCCCTTATCGGATAACACAAAGCGAATAGCTTCGTCACAGTGCAAAGAAAACCTTTACTGATGTTACGTGCAGACGAGACGTGGAATATCTGACGTCACACGTGCAAACGCGAAGGTCACCAGCCACCCGAGTGCGGCACTTATCATAACAGAAGAGTGGGAGATAAAGATATGCATGAGGGGTTGATGGAAACGGAGAAGTCTCATGCCATGGCGCGGAAGGAGGTCCTCGCCGCTCTGATTTGTTCGTGCTTTTGTGTGGTCATCGTCGTCTTCGGGGCTTTGGTGCGTGCGGGCGCGATCGGTGGGTCGGAGGATCTCGGACTCATTTTGATGCCTGGAGGAGGCTTCGTGCTTTTTTGCGTCAGTGTGAAACTGGTCTGGCTCAAGTGGGGGAAGAAAGGAACGGTGCGGTAATACCATTTGTTTCCTTGTGGAAAGCATGTGACTAGCACAATAGAAAATTGCCTTGGAAGACAAAGAACATTTCTCTATAAAAGTGTTGCCAATTGCCCAGACCATTCAGTCAACGAAATATGGTTATAGTCATGTTGATCGTTACCAGTTTGCCATTGCATATCAATAGATTAAAGAGAGTAATTTTTAGCGCATATCGAAACTTAAAAATGTATAATCCTGATAATTTTTTCTCAATTGGAAAGTGAAACATGGCATGCAACATCATATTAATACGTAATGTCCTTTTTCATGTGAAGTAAAACGCAAACATTTGGAGATTCATGCAGAATTTTAAAATATTTCATTAATCTTTTTTACTGATAGGAGCGGAACAGGATGGGCAGCACTACTACATCAGGTGAGTTGTTTCCAGAATTCATACGCAGACTTCACCGCTTCAACAGTCACATTCAACAGTCACAACTCCAATCTTTCAAATCACATCACCTAACGCTGAATGTTTTAGTTTGGCCCTTAGCAACGAGTCCATTTGATCCTCCGCCGTCGTACGTAGAGGCGCAGCTAATAGTGCATGGACCACTCAACCCTCTATCGCTGTCACCATCAGTGCAACTGGGAGCAGGGATTCCTTCAAGTGGACCGGCAGCGTCGAGGACGCAGTTTGACCTTCCTCCCTCATACGAAGAGGCTGTTCGAGGGGCCAAGGACGACGAACCTCCGCACAGCGGAGGTTCGTCGAAGGAGAGGTGCTGGAACGGTGATATTCATCCTCTTTTAGGAATTCGAATTCCGGCTGACGGGACACGAATCTGCTGAGGCGTTTCCACTGACATGTGATATTATTTAGAGTTTCATCGTTTACTTGGCATACAATGTGAATGCATTTTCGGATTAACGACACGGGAAGAACCCTGACTCCAAAAAGTATAGTAGCATCTTGCATTTTCCTTTTTTTCAAGTGCCAAAAGAATAACTGGGAATTATGCTTCTGTGCATTGGTACCGACACGCTGTATTGCTCTAATAGCCTCAGCATAAAATGTATTTGAGTGGCTCTTCTTCGAAGTCAAGGTTTGTTGACAAATGAAAGAGCGATAATCATTAATACCACTACTTCAACGTTGTTCTTGCTATTCATTATTTACAAAGGCATTACGAAGTATTTTTTCCTGCCGACAGTGTCAATATATTACTCTTGGGTTCTGCTACATTTCCATTTCCAAACGTCTTGAACGCGGTGAGCAAAATAACGTTTAGGAAGCCAGAAGAAACATATGCCTCTATATGTTTACGTCACTCTTTTGATATCATATCGGAAGACCTTGCCGTCAATCTCTCTCAGACGACCCTGAGTACGAGTATCACAGTACTTCAGCGAGTACTGCCACACTAGTTTCTCTCCCCCACCTTTCATGCGAGATGGAACTCTTTTCTGCCTTTTTCTATTGCTCATCTCATTCTTTCACCGCTCGAGAGGTGAGATCCCTTTTCGTGATATGTTTCATCCCGATCGGGTTCACATTATTATATCAGTCGCCAAGCAGCCTTCATACTTGGGAGGTAGAGAAATAATTCATCAGAGGAGAGTAGGTTGAGATCACTACCTTAAACCTTCTTCTCCAGGAGTTTTTTAAAGTTTTTTTTTGGGTTGAATAGCGCAGTTTAGTAAACGCTTTGGAGAATTTCAGTGTCGTCACCCACATTGCCTGAGGAAAAAAAAGATCAGGTGCATTATGAAGCTTTTCAGGACTTACAGTGAGTCACTCACTGATACCAATAACATATCAGTAATTTATGCGCCATCTCGCTTCACCTGTGGAAACCTTGTTCGTGAAGATAAATGCTATAGATGCCTTGATCGCAATTGGGAAAGGTACTGAATATATAAGAAGGGAAAAAAACGACATCATATCGATGCCAAAAGAAAAATTAACAGACTAGGACATTCATATGACGAAAGGGAAAAAAGGGGCAATAGGCATCAGGAAAAATTACTTCACATATTTTTTTTTATTGATCAGTCTATTTTCATGTAGGCAACCAGGACGTGCAGATTTTAAGCACACTTTCGTAGAAACAGGCGAGCGCTTCGGTTTTCTTGTTGATCCTCGGGATAAAAATGTTGTATGCGGTCGGAATAGTTCAAAGATACCTGAAAAGTATGAGACAGGGTATAAATTTCGGTTTAGTCGTCCTAATAGAAGAAACAAGAACAGACAGTCGAGGACCGTCCTAGCAAGAAATATAAATATCTGGAAAGAAGAAAAAATAATATGAATGAATTTCGCGCACGTCCTTCCCCCCCTCCTCCCCAAGAATGGCGACTATCTAAAACTATCTAAAAACTACTTACACTATCTAAAAAACTAGATTTATTTGGTGATGCCGGAATGCATTCCGAGAGAGGAACGTGTGTGGGAAAGGGTGAAATAATGAGGCAAATATTCATATTAGCTCCAGCAGAGATATATCGATTTCCCAAGAAATCAGAAATGGGTCATGGGATATCATATCCATACATTTGAATCCCAGATAGCTCATCCGTAACGAGAGGACATAGCTGTTCAGCAGTATTTAGAGAAGGAAAAAAAAAGAAAAACTATGAAATTGTTAGACAATAACGAGTTTCAGCCCCTTGTTCAAGTGAGACGAACGGCTATGGTTCCACGTATTTCTTGGGTGTTATGTCAGTCTGTATACAAAAAAAAAGTGGTACGTTGTCAATTTCGTGATTGTTACCAAAGAAACCAAAGGGAAAACAATGCTAATGGTTTAATGTACATGCCGACGCGTGAATGCAGAAGAATCGGGGTGATCACTACAGGTGAAAAGTCTGAAATGAGAAAAGTAACCAATATCTTCCAATATCACATTCCAATATCTAGAAATAGGTTTAACCTAAATGAAGCATTTCCAAACCAAATTTTCGGTTAGGTTCTGGAGAAGTAAGAGCAAAAACCCAGAAGCATTTGCCGCAATGCAACATTGCATGTGGGTGTATTGCCGTGGAAAATGATATATTATATATAAAATATATCCATTTCCTCTGAGTAAATTTTATTCAATTGGAACCGGGAATTTTTAAAATGGCAGTAAGGACCTTAGAATATATTATTTTAGTAGATACAGAGGATACGTACGACTACGGTTTGCTTTTTGATGCCGTCCTCATTCAAAGAGCCATGAAATATATTAAATATGTGTATCTTTTATTGATAGAGAAATCAATCTCGGTGACAGAGAGTAATGATACCAATAAAGCGCGGAGTATACGAGATTAGTATAAGCGGCACTGTTCGTTTTACGATCATGAGGGGTCCAGTTTCGGAGATAAGGGATGAGGGTGATTTCGATTGACGAGGACAAGCCAGAAGTCCTTCAGACGTCTGAGTGGTTGAGCATCCAAGGTTGCTCCTTCGTGTTATCGGGCTGGCGAGATAGGATACGAATGAGACATGAAGAGTAGAGACTCGAGTTCCCCGTGATGGCCGAGTGGCAGTGCCGGGCCAGGGCTCTCTTCGCGTTCCTCTGCGTGGTCTTCATCGCGTTCGGTGCCGTGCTGACGGCGGACCTGCTTGGCGAAGCGTGGAATGGGCCGGCCGGGATCTTCCTCATCGTCGCGGGGTGCCTGGTGCTCTCGTGTCTCGTCCTGATGGGCTGCAAGTGCATTCGAGTGGTGAGAGGAATTTCGTGCTTCGTGGCTTTGGCGAGTGAACAACTCGCGGGGGAGAGGAGGAAGTATATTTACTGAAGCAGGCAGCCTCGGCAAATTGCCTGAACTTAGACTCATTCGCATAATGAGTCTAAGTATTTACATTCGATAAGTATTTACAAATCAATAACATTAAAAGGAAACAATATAGTCCAGATATAATAATTACCGGCGCTAGCGCAGAAAAGGGAATTCCAACAGAATCATGAATGTTTTTCAGAATGTTTATTTTTATTCCACGAACTTAGGGGAAACCTCTTTTGAGAAAACCCTGGAGTCTTCCTGTGCCAAGAAAATGATGTAACCGATATTATTTTATTATAGTCCAACATCTTAATTTCCCATTCCTCCTATTTTCAAATTATTTCAGCTCCTAGTCGAAATGGTTTTTTTCGCAGAAGGTAACTTTGAGTGAAGGTAATTTCTCACGGTTTCTACTGAGTAGTGAGGGTGCTCTGTCTTATTCTAGGATTCATTCGCTGATTTGTGCTGTACTTTTTATTTTTTAAAGTACCATTCCTTTAGACATCTATACGTTTCCTCACGAAAATCCTCTTGTAAAAAAATGAGCTACACACTCTCTCATCCCTCATTTCACTTCATAAGGCGAGTGCATTATGAGCAATCAAGCGATTAACCTTTTTGCTGCAGTTTGAAATTTATTTCAGGGGTTTAAATAAATCAAATCACGCGGCGAAGTGCCACAAATAAAAGAGGTACTTAAATAGCTTTTCTAAGGGTTAATAAGGATATTTCGAAGTCATTTTCAAGTCGAAAGGGTTGACATTTCTTCCCATGGTATTTGTGAAATCCTTTCGGCGTTGGTTACCATCACCATGGCGACTTGGAAACTTCTGGATAATGTAATGTTTCAGTAATATTTGCGCATCATTGGGTAGCAGATACAAAGGTCTTCTTCGCCATGTTTCAAGGAATCACATTTACTTATGAACTAATTGCGGTCTTCGAGGTCTTTTAAATCTTGGGGCTTTACTGTATTGAAGCAATCTTTCAGATAGCAAATAAATATATGGTCGTCTATTTGGAGGAGATGGTACTAGCCATTCGATTCGACACCCTTGCCATGTTCCCCTTTAGGTTAACGGCCGATCAATGCAGGGAGATTCGAACTCGCAGCCCAAAGTGGATTGTTTATTTGGGATTGCTGGAAGGAAAGACCTTAACAGACTTAACTGACAAGAGTTCTTCATTGGAGTTCTGTTTCAATGCTACTTTCATGGCTTCGAACAGGAAGCCAGGAAATAGCATAGTCTACACATGCTTTTCAGTTGTCACATTTACAGCTGCATCATGTCCTATAGAGAAAAATAAATTATTTGAAACTTTGTTTCGATGGACTGGGAAATTTTCGGGTTCATCGATGTTTTCAGAATCTTCCAGATAAATATAGGTCCTGACATGAAGGAATCGTACTTTATATGGGATTCTGAAACCATCTGAAAAAAGTCTACAAAATGCTTATCTAAATTGAAACTGGAAGACGAATTCCTCTGTAACATCGTGAAGTGAGTGTATTTAGTAATGAGTCAAAGAGGGAAGAAAGCTCATCCTTTCATTGGATTAACCAGTATTATCTGTCAATATTGTTTCGGTGTTTTGCACCTCGATTTCGGCTTTCTGCCGCAAAATTACGCGATGGCATGTTCTGACGATTCATCAGTTTCATCACGAGGAAAGTCATTCAACTTCCTTTCAAATGGTGTTTCCAGAAACTGAACACCCAGCGATCTCCGCCTGAAGAAGTGCCTTCAGAAAACCGGAATCACCTGTTCGCATTGGAATTGTGGCAGCTTCGCATGCCCCAAGCATTCCAGCCGATGCAGAGGAGTTTCTCCAGTGACCCTTCCGGAATGAGGACCCATTTCAACTTCCCACCATCCTACGATGAATCCCAGTCAACGTCGCCACTTCCACCGCATCCACTCCCCGTCCCACCTCTTCCACTCCATACAGTTCCCGCCCCACCACCATTATATGCTCCACGCCAAGAGGATCCAGAGGCTTCTCCGGATGAAACAGCATTAGGGATGCAGTCCTTCCTCCCGCCGCCATACGAAGAGGTTCTTCGTGACCTAGAAGAAAGA